GTGTGTGTGTGTGTGTGTGTGAATTTGCCTCCCTCACTCTCCTTTAGCGTTGCATAACAGCTTGATTGTATAATCCCAAACATATATGCATGTCCACGAGGCTGAGCGCTAGAGTGCATGAAGCAAAGAGAGAGCACCAGAAGCGGTGGATACTGAGGAGGAGGAAGGAAAAGAAAAGAAAGAGGTGAAAACAGGACAACAACCACAGAGCTGTAGCGCTGTGGGTTCGGGTTGTAACGGAATACCGGTATCACGATATACTGTGGTATTAAAATTGACGGTTATCATATCTTTTTTGAATTGGTTCAGCTCGTAAGGTCGGCATTAAGGTTACCATTATGTATCTCGAACCGACAACGTGGTTCTCAGGAAGTGACGTAATTACAGTTCAGTGTGCCCGAAAAGAGACACACTACTGTTTATTTACAGTATTTGGAACGATAGTACAAATATTGAGTATGTAGTGCATAGTATATGATTTTGGTTGCAGCATAGGTCTTTAGCTGCTAGATGCAGAGTCAGCAGATGTACGATAATTTTGCTCTCGGTTTGTTCGGGGTGGAAATGCCGATATAAGAGATCATATTTTAGCAATATACAAAAGCTGGCAGAGAATGTGTCACAGTCGGCACACTGACAAAAACCTTGTGTTTAATCTCAAAAGGTGTGTGACAATCACTGATTACATTACACCAATGCAAACCCTTGTGTTTTGTGTTGTCATTAAGTTTTCAAATAAACTGTTTTAGTGGCTTTCGGTAGACAAAACCTAATTTCTTGTCTGCTGAGGTGCTGTCCATGGTGCTGAAAGGTGTGCTCCGTCGGAGGGCTAAGCGTTAAAATAACCGTCCCCGATCCTGATGAAATGCATCATATGGTCACATGAATCTGGAGGGGAGCGGAGGGTGAACTCTACGCTTTCGTGACGACTGCGTTATCAGCACTAACCGCTGTGAGCACAGTGAAGATCACCAGCAATTAGCGATCTACTGGGGCATGACAGAGAGACTCACGTGCACTAACATCAAGCGCAGCCAGCCCAACTATGTAAACAAAGCACAGAGAAGCTCTGATTACAACAAACAAAGAGGAAGAGAGTTCATTCTCTGCTCAGGTATTACTCCACTATATCTTTACATACACTTGACACTTTAATAACAGACTTGTTTTAACGTACTCTTCATTTGTTTACTTGTTTATCATATTCAATTTCCATATTTTTTTATTCCTAAATGATGTCCTCTAGTGTTTATTGTCACATATGCATAGCTACTAGTTGTTTGCTGCTTTATTAATGCTTTGAATCCTGCGTATAGTAACTTTAAGTACCACAAATGCTAAGTGCAGCTATGCCCAGCTAATTGATTTACTGAAGACTAATACTTTTAGGTTTTAATTACACTTCATGATCCGAGACAATGTCTTTGAAGCCTTGAAAAATATGTCAATGTACCACACAAACATGGAGGATAGCAGAAGAACAACAGCGCTCTATTAAAGTGTTGTATTGCGGGAGGAACTAGGTTAAAAGCAGAGACTTAAATGGAGATGACAGTTTGAGAACATTTTAGTATCTGAGCTTTGGGAGGCTTTCAGAAAGCTTTTCCAGGGGGAACGATAATCAAAACGGAAAGAGGAAGTGAGTGGTATGAATAGTTACAGACAAGGACAGGATGGGAATTGAAAGAGCAGGTAAAAGACAGGAAGAAAGGTGAGGATGAGGAGAGTGTGAGAGAGGATGAAGGAGAAAGAAAACATAAAGTTGATGAATGGAGTCCCCGTGCGGAGGTGACGTCATTACTAGTGTTAGCAGGCTGGTGGTAAACTTTGGGGTTAAAAGGCATCGCTCACACTGACAAACCAGCACACACACTTTAAACACACAAAGACGGGCTTAGCTGAAGTATACACACATATTCACGCGCAGGCTTAACTCAAAACACACACACTCACACTCACACAGACAGGCTTATGACTCAGTAACACTTTTTGCCTTATCTCCAAACCTTTCTCTATCTGTCCAGTTCAATTTATTCACCCCATCTTCCCTTCATCCTCCCAAGGCTTTTTATTATCATTTTCAACTGCTTCCATTTTCCGTGCGCTATCCTCTACTCGGCTAGAAAGAATTGAGCGTTTTTCTCTCCTCGTTTATCCTTAACTGAATCCACAAGCAGCTCCCCACCGATACGGCACAACCATCACTCTGAAATACCAACAACTCATTTTCTCAACATCTCAAAACTCTTTTACCCTCCCTCTCTCTCCCTGATCTTGTTCATCCTCTCCATTCCCTCCCCTCCCTCAGCCATGTTGTTCAATCAACTCTTTAATTTCCTGTCTCTGTCTATGTCATATTAGCAGTGATGAAGGTTGGAAAAGGGCCTCATTTGGTCAAAATGTCCCCTTTACTTTCCTTGGAAACAGTTGGTGCACAAGCAGAAGCAGTAAAAAAACAGGTTTCAACTGTGTTTATTCATCCACTCCATCCTAGCATTAACCCGAACATCGACTCCTCTTGCCCCCTTCTGCCTCTGCAAGCAGCACAGTCACTGGCATATCCACTGCCGAGGGGAATTGACATGACAGCCGCTCCCCCTGCATGGCAATACCCACTGTCGTGCACTTTAGAGGTGAAAGATCAAATAAAAAAAAAATGAAAAAAGGTAAAAAAAAAAAAAAAAAAAAAAGGAGGCATGAGAGGATAAAGAGGAGATGTGAGGAGGGAGTTGGGAGAAGAAAATGAAGAGGAGAGCAGAGGAGTGATGCTCTCTGTGGTCCCTCTGTCCTCTGTTCCCTAACCGTCACCAGCGAGAGGTGAGGGGGTTGGTTGTCATGACGGCTGTCGTCATGGCAGCAGCACTGGGTGATAAACAGGAGCAGAGGACGTCTGTCTGTCTGTCCGTGCGGCGCAGCTTCCGTGGCAACAACCGCCGACAAGATGCGGCAAATATCTGCCGCTGTCGTGGGAAGTTTAACTTTTCCATATTTTGATCTTCACTTCAGGACGTTCGTGGTTCTGTGTTTTAAGGGGCTGCTCTTCAACAAAAGGCTCATTCGACTAACACTCATATGATTTTGTCGACTAATCGATAAGTTGATTTCATCGGCAGATCTTCACAAAGAATCACACAAAAGAACCTCATTAAATCTGGTGTTCATGTGTTTCTAGGATAAAAATAACTCGGCATGAAAGCAGCGTAAAGAGCTACTCATCGACTAAAGAAATCTTCAGTCGAGGACAAAAACGGATTAGTCGACTAATGGACAAAGAGGGGGCAGCCCTGTGGTTTTAATTTCCCTATCTTAGTTGTTAAAAACAAATATATAACAATAAGATAAAATATCTTTTATTGTTGACTTTGTCAATAGCTTCACCTAACGGTCTTTGTTTCTGACTGTTGTGAACTTGGAAAACTCACACTTCAAACCGTGCGGCACCTTCATCCTTGAGGGGGAAAAAAAAAAAAAGGCCCAGCAGAGGATATACTCAATAATCCATTCTGTTCTTTCCACTTCCATCGCTGTGTGGTTTGGATCAGCCACCAAACAGCAACCGACTGCAACGGACAGTCAGAGCTGCAGAGTTAATCCATCGGAGCCATGTTTATACTCCTCCAGAAACATCGCTGCAGGCTGTTATACTATTGTAGCTTTAATGCACCAAACTGTTTAATAATTACGTATGTCACGTAAATCCTACAAGCTGAATATACAGCATATGGATATGAATACATGTAGTCATGCAGCCCATGTATTCATCCGTATCATTATTGAAAACTGAATAGTAAAATGTAGTTAATATTAATGTCACTTTGTTTATTAATGTAGTATTAGGAGTAGTTAAAGTAAAACTAGCAGTGCTCCAGGACGCAGCAGTACTCACTTTATTTCCCACTGCTTTAGAGGTTCATACTTCATATTTAATTCCTCATGAACGTTTTATTATGTCTAATGTGATTTAATCAACCCCTTCCTAAGCATGTCTTTAATACTTCAGTAGATCAAGAATGAGCATGAAGCCAAATAATTTGAACAGGTGATGATGACACAGTTAACGCTTTTAATCAACTCCATATTTCTGCTTGATTACAGGTGTAGAAATTGAGATGGCAGTTAATTTAAACTTCTATAAACATGAGCAACGGGAAAAATAATTGATGCCAGGTTTGTTAAAATATAAAAAAAATTCCCCAAAATAAAGATAAAATAAGAAGCCATTTAACTAAAACTCCTGGAGGGGATCAAATAAGTAAAAATCCCAAAAGGAGTCCATCTATGCAGTGGTGAGACCCATCATCCTCCTCCTCCTCCACCACGTGGTCTTTGACCTGATCAACAGCTCTCAGTCAGTCCTCCTTTCTCTCTACCACCTCCTCCACGTTCTCAACTGCTAATTCTTTGGTTCTGATGATCCGTTTTCATCACCGTTCTCCAAGTCCAGCTCTGCCTCATTTTCCGCTGCTCCTTCCTTCTCTGCGTCCTTCTTTCCCACCTCGTCCTCCACCTCTTCCTTCCCTTCCATCTCTCCATCCTTCCCCTTCTGCCCGAGGCCCTGTTTCTCTTTGAAGACCTCCACGCCTAACAATCGGAGGTAATGAAACCTCTCGTTGCGGGGCACGAAGGCTCGGATGGACGTCTTCCCCCTCCAGCCACACAGCTGGATGGGACACTGCGGGTCCTCCGGGTTACTGACAGAGAGTAATGGTAGGCGTCAGAAATGACCAAAAAACTAGGATATCACTTTAAAAAGAACAATGAGAAAACATGCATACACTTCAAATATTACTTACTTTGTGTTGGGATTGTACTTCAGCACAATGCTACCCATTACTGTGGAGAGAACAACATTCATAACTATCAAGCAACAACAGATTATTCCATTTTAATGTTAATGTGCTCTTTCCTACATATCTGACAATTACCAGTGTAGCTACAGCTTTCTTTATGCTGGAGCCGCTCAGCTCCTCTTGTCAGTTTTTGGGTCAGTGCCTTGCTCAAGGGCAGCCCAGCACCCGTTATTTGAGGAGGACAGAGCATTACTCATTCACTTCATGCCGGCCAAGCCAGAAACCTTCCAGTCACAAATCCACTACCATAACCTCTAGACTGCTCCCTAAATGATTGTGTTTCTGCATCAGAAAGAAAGCCGTTGTACTAATATTATTGACAGAGCTTTAGCTTTCTTTAAGTTGTTATTTAAAACGTGTGTGTGTGTGTGTGTGTGTTTTGGAATTTAAATCGTACCCAATTTCTTGGCCTGAGCGTGGGCGTCTTCCTCCAGTTTGCTGAGGTAGGGGTTCTCCTGGGTCAGCAGCACTTTGATGTCCTCCACACTCACTCGGATGATCCTGGAGCGAATGTACGGCTGAAGAGTGTAGATACCCTTGTTGGGCAGAGAGGAGATGCGCTTGACACTCTGCAGACTCGCATAATATATCCAGATTCTTTATGGTTACATGGTGCATACGAAACAAATTAACGAAGTGTATTCGAGAGTGTGAACTCTGATGCATACAGTAAAGATAGTGAGAAAAACTTACTGCACGTTTGAACTCTGATAAAAGAGCTGCTTTTACAATGAAGTATCAAATTGAATAATATATAAGGTGTTTAAGTCCTAGAAATATAAGCGATGCATATAACCACGCATCCCTGTGTGTTGCACTTCTTATCACGTGGTTCATTTGCATACAACAAGAGGATTATGGGAACGTGCAGCTACGGGGTGAAGATTCTGAGAGAATGTCGCGTTTTCACAATAATACAGCTTCTGATTAATAAACTGTTAAGTGTTTTACCTCCTGAGCCAGTCTGAAGGGACAGCCAAACTCCTCTCCATCACTGTTGCGAGACCACACCTTCACGCCTGTGTTAATGACCTGAGAAACAAACAAAGGAGAAGCGAGCTGACATGTTGCTCTGTACAAAAACAACAGCGATGCCAAAATCCTACAGACTTTAACGGCACCAAGTAATATCTCTCCTGAAAACATGACCAAGGGTGGCCATCGAAATCAAAAGGACTAATTATGTTGCGTGTGGTCTCTTAGTATTACTGTGTTTTGTAATTACGTGCTGATGTTCAACAAACGGCTTAGCTCAAGGCATCTCCTGTACAAGACACGCTCTCTGCTGTCTCAGCACGAGTGGGAGGAAAATACAACAACAATAAATATCCACGTTGAATTCTTTACTAAACTAAGGGAAGTAAAGCAGAAAGAACAATAAACTTCTATAATACCTTAAGAGAATATGAAGCTGGGAGAAATAGATTAAAATCTCTTAATATTAAAGGTTGTGTAGGCAACGTTGGAGAAACCAGCAAGACTACGCAAGACTTTTTTTTTTATTTTTTTTTTAAATTGTCCAACCTAAAACCTCAGTCAAGTGTTGCAAACTTCAATGACAAGTAGCTAGCACTAGCATCACTAGCTCCAAGAGTTGCTAAATCTAGCGAGGAAGTCGTCAAGTCAACAAACAAACATGGCTATTGTTAGTACTCACAGCTGTCAAGCTAGCAGCTACACACACACACACACACACACACACACACACACACACACACACACACACACACACACACACACACACAGGTAGGTTGTCCATCCAATCATTTCATACGAGCAGAATGAAATGATTGGACGGGCTAATTACAGTCCTGTGACTGATGTCAGAGAATTGGATTTATTGATTGCTGTCGGGACGTAAAGACACTTTCAAGTATAAAATAGATAGGTAGATATTATATATACCGTAGCTCTAAACGATCAATGTTGCGAAAAAGCCTAATTCCATAGACGTCATAACGGGGGAAGGGAAGGAAACAGAGGCCTTGTTTTTCAGTCATCACCCCCAGAATGTGTAATATTGTGGAAATATGCAACTCACTGTGGTTTAGCCCCATAGAAAGTGACTATTGAGTGAGATGCATCAAACACAATGAGGAGAACAAAGAGACACACACACACACACACACACACACACACACACACAC